TGGAGGAGTGTGTGAGTGTGTGTGTGTGTGTGTGTGTGTGTGTGTGTGTGTGTGTGTGTGTGTGTGTGTGTGTGTGTGTGTGTGTCACAGAGCTGCCAAACCATTCAAAACAAACCAAATCAAAGACAGTGCACATATTGCCTTCTGCCTCCTGTCAACCTGTCCCCTAAACACACACACACACCAACATATTGCCATGAAACACACACACCCATCTCCATATGGTGCGATGAGTTTCTGCCCCAGTTAAGCGAGCGGCTCCTGTGGTGCGGTGCAGACGCTGTGGTGACAGGAACAATGCCGCAGTATTGACTTCTCACACCAGTTCTATTATGTGACCTTATTAGACCTACGATCACAATATGAAGCTGCGGGCTACTAGACAAATAGACACGCTGGGGGTCAGCGCCAACACCATCTTGGTAAGTGGTGGACTGAATGAAAGGGCGACTAGAACCTGGATACTAGTGAAAAGAGAAGTGTGGTAGTTTGTGATTTGTGCAATTTGGGACAAAAATAAACCACATTATTGTCCATCACTTGTGTCTTGTCATGTCAGTGTTAGTGGGTTAATCAATAAACCCAGTCTATATTCACTGAATGGTGCTCTTCCAGCTGTATCACAAAGAACTGTGTATATTTGTATGTGTTTACTTTAACTGTGTATTACAAGGATTGAGATAAAACATCTTCATTAACAAGAGGGACCTTGCCAAGGCAGCGGTCATACAAAATAACAACATATAAAACATGACCTAAGGTTTACAATAAACCAGACAACAACACTTAAATGGTTTCTGTAACCTGGTGGATACATTTATTTCAAAGGCTGTGTCCATGTGTAAAATGGGTCTTAAAATCCATCGACGGATATAAATGATTCTTATTTTAGATTTTATTGCAGATTTTTTAAAGCAGGTTTTTAAGGAAAATTAGGTTTTTTTTCTCCTAAAGACAGAGAAGGGTAGAGAGTTATGCTGGAAGTGCATAGTGATAAATAATAATATTAAAATGCTGTTGTCTGCAAGAGGTCAACTATGCATGGATATATTACTGACTCTGTTATATATTCAATTTCAGGAAAATGAAGCAGGTCAAAAGCTACAGAACTAGTCTTGGCCGGATCAATGAATCACTGAGCAGTCATCAAAACACATGACAAGCCAGGATCCAAGTTTTCGGAAACACTGAGACGTCACGGAGGATCAGCATGAAACGTGCACTTCTCTGTCCAAAAAGTCAAGAAAGAGGAAGGAGGAGTGCTAATTCAGCTTTCTTACTTTTTTCAATGGAACATACCCCGTCATCGAAACTCTCTTTCCTCCTTTGTTCCCCCCTTCCTTTGTCCCTGTTTTCTCTCTATAAAATCACTTCTGCATTTCCAGCAGATTACCCGCTGAGGTTATTGAACTACTCTGCTGGTTATTGAAGCCAAACGGGTGTGAGGGAACGGCTCATATTCCCTCTGCTGGAGTGTTTATTGATCGGCCCGTGGCTTGATTACATTCCCTTATCACTAATAGAATAAAAAAAGAGTATAAAATAAAACTGCATACTTCTAAACTGTGGTTAGAGGAGTCAAATGTACGGTGATAACCCACAGAGAGATGTGTGTTTCCGTCAACACTCTCACTTCTGTGCAAATGGGTTCAAGCCCGGTCAAGACCTTTGATTCTCCTTTGACACCATCTCGCAACCTTATATATACAGTCTATGCTCGCAACATATCAATATTTCAAATTCACGATGCATTTTCATATAAGTTTGTTTTTTATATTAATGATGATTAATTTCAGATAAACACGGTTCTAAGGGAGCCCGTATATTAAAGGAGACCTATCATGCTATATTTGAATAATATATTGTTTGAGTGAGTTCCCTGACACACCGGGGACACATATTCATGTATAAAAGACATACAAAAGTGCATTTGCATGATAGGTCCCCTTTAAGCCTGGTGATTTTTTAATATATATTTGTCACTATATCTCCAGAGAGAGAAATACATAAATGTTTATTGGTAGGTACTTAAAATATACTTGTATTCTTATGTTGAAAAGAAGTAGAAAATGATCCTCTTATTTCAGATCAAGAGTTTAATTAACAATCTGTGGGTGATTTTATGGAATGGTTTGGAGCAGGAGTCAAAACAAAGCACAAGCATAATTCAGTTTAAAAGGATGTACAGAAACACTTTTTGGGAAAACTATGAGAATGAAGAGAGGTGATTGAAGATGAGAAATGATTGTATATGTATGTATAAATGTAAATGTAAGTAGGAATAACTTGCATAATGATTTAAAGGACAATCATTGATCAAGTAAGGGATGGGAATTAATAAGCATTTGCTTCCTCCTACTCCCTTTCGGACACATGATTTATTATTATTATTATTAATATGAAGACTTTTTTTGTTGAATATATAAATATTATCATGAATGTGGATAAATACTGTATTTTAACAATACGGTATTCTATTTTTCACATTTGTTATTTTTTATTTGCTATTTTTTTAATCTATTCGAAATAAAGATTGAAATTAAATGAAATTCATAAGTAATGAAATGCACCTTTGCTCTGTCTTTTGTTATCATACTCATTATCTCTCCACTTTTAGCTATTTGTAATTCAACTGGCCCCTTGACATGAACTGCCGGCCCCAGTTTGGCCCCTGTGGTTTAAGCAAACTAGAACAACTACTGATTTCCATCTTCCTGACATTCCCGCCGCTCGTGTGAACGTTCATGTGTTCTCTGCGAGTCTCCTCGTCCTCAGTGGACTGTGGATAGTGGCTGACACCTCAGCACTCCTCCCTCATCTCTGACCTGAACTGTGGACCAGACAGCTGCCTGTAACCGCTCTGCAGGGCGATTACCGGCAGATAATTGCTGCCTTTATGACTGTCAGAGTTTCATAACCCGGCATAAAGTTAACTGGACCGGCAGCCGGCTGGACTGACAAAATGACACGTGGAGAGGACGTGTTTTTATCACAAGAGCTACGTGTTACACTTGAAGATATAGGATTACAGAGGGTTTTGTTTATCCTTAAATAACTTTATTGAAGATGTTCACTCCTCTATATAAGCTTCCTTATTGCTCTGTAACAAAGGCTGTGAGGGTAATTATAAGTCAATACTGAAAAAACAGTCACAAGTGGGGCTGCACGATTTGGAAAACATGTATAATTGTGGTTAGTTTGACTGATATTGTAATGATTCGCAATATTGAGGGAATAAACATAATTCACATCATTGAAAAACATAATAAAATAACCTTGGTGGGACGATTTGTACCTAACAAGGATATTTTATTAATACCGTTTGCAGGCCGGCATCACTTCACTTCATTAGGATATTGTCACATATTTTGCCTTTAACAAAAGTTGCGTCCACTGCTTTTTGGATACTGCCCTGGTCCATAATGGGATTTCGATACAATTACTTGTGCATCCCTTGTCACAAGGATACGTTCCTGATACATAGTGATACATGTAAGCTGAGCATTACTTTGGCTACAGCATCCACATAATGTCAGCGCCTGCATGCTAACCTTCAGTCTTCTTACCCCCTGAAACAATTGGAGGAAACAGTGCTGTGACACATATACCAGGATGTCAGACAGGCAGCAAGGAGGGGGTTCTCCCAACATTCAAACACAAAACATACAGGCTGTGATATTTATGACAGAAATGAATGAAGGAATATCAGGTTTGGAGCAGATGGGGTTTAGAGTTTACCTAAAGGACAGTTCAGCAGGATGGTTTTCTGACCTCAATCTCTCTACGCACTAAAGCTCAAACTGCCATGTGTAAAACCCCCAAAATATTTTCACTTCAGCCTCTATCTATACCACAAGAGCGCAGATGCAAACAATTAGCCACAGCTAAGCTGGAGTAAGCTGTCGCTGCAGGTCGTGTTCTGGTAATCTCACTGGTATGAGGAATCTTTGAGTATATAAGTAAATAAACAGAAACGCATGAAAATGAAATGCAATGTTAGCCACATTTTTGAAACACTCTGCTATTGGCTGACACGTATTTCAGTCATTACGGCGTTTAAGTTCTCAAGTAAAGTGAGTAATGCCTCTTCTGTGGCCAGTCAGCAAAACTGTGCACCCACACATAAAGTGACCAATAAGCAGTTGTTACTGTGAATTACTGCAACAAGAGGTCAACTTTCCTCCTGTCTGTGACACACAAAGGTTACTGTTGTTGCATTATGAGTTGTCGACTTATTGCATAAAATCTCAGTGAGTCCAGGGTCAAACAGAGGAACTGAAATGCAATAAGTGGAGAAATGACAAAGCCATCTCGCATTGATCGGAGTCGAGCAAATAAATAGTGGATTTTTGGTTAGCAAGTGACCCCCAGTAACACCATATTACACTGGGGTTTTATATAGGATGTGTAGCCCACTTGGTGTAGGATGCGTCACTACAAGATGTTCATGTTACTGCCAGATGGGCCAAAACTGTTAAGTGCATAATGACACACACACACACACACACACACACACACACACACACACACACACACACACACACACACACACACACACACACACACACACACACACACACACACACACACACACACACACACACACACACAGAAACATGCACAAACAATGTATTCCCCACCACTCTCCCCTGTTTCTCACAATCACCATCCAACAAACACTCCCTCCTCCTCACTGCACATCTTTGTTTAAAATACCAAGCTTCTTTTCCTTGTGCGATGTTTATAATAGACTTTATCTTATTCTCTTTGCTCCTCTAAACACTTCACTTCCCATTCCCATCCTTGAGTCTATAAAAATGGTCCAAACCTTTGACACATAACAACACTCCCCAAACAACAGCAGGCACAGGAAGGTCGTGCAAGCAAAAAGTCCAACATCTGCCAGATTGTTTAACAAGTCTGGAAGTACCTGTGCTTCCCAGAAATGGAAACATAGTCTGACAAACAGTCTGATAACACAATCATGGCGGTGTACTGACCCAGTGGCGGGGGCTGCTCTCCGGGGAGCGGGCCTGGTACCTCTGCAGGGCGACCCCTCCGTCCCCCTCCTGCAGTAGTGAGCAGTCCAGGGCTGGGCAGTGGTTGCTGGGTCCCACAGACCAGGGCAGCAGGGTGGCCAGAGGGCAGTGGGAGATCATGTTGACATCCTGCAGCAGGAGGGGGGGCAGGGATGGCAGGGCATACTCAAACCTGGACCGCAGTTTGAATGGAGACTTCTTCAGTATAGAGTAGAAATCAGGAGAGGGTCTTCAAGTGTTTTGAGCTGTTTCCTCCTCCTCTCTTCTCAGTGTAAACTAATGATAACTCTCCTCTCAAGTCGTTCACCTCACTGTTGTCTCTTCCTCCCACTCTATAACTTTCTCTCTCTCTTCCTCTCTCTGTGTGCGTGGAGCTTGCCTGACCAACAGCTCTGAACCACATGAGTGATTAAAGTCTATTGTCTCTCTCTATTTCTCCCTCCCTCTCTCTCGCCCCTACATTCAAACCAGCCAGAAGGGGAGGAGTTATAACCTCGGTGGCCAATCCCCCCCCCCCCCCCCCCCTACATCTGACTAAAGACATTTCGGCTGTGGAAGAATGTGAAGGAAAGGAAAGAAAGACAGGAAATCTGGAATAGAGAGGAGGATGTTATGGAAGAGGTTCTAAGAATTACTAACAATAGCATATATTTTCCATGATGGATGGCCTTCAGCCTGATTTATGTTTTGCTGGATTCCATTCTCAATTTCAAGCACACTTCAGATCTTATTTCTTTGTTTTAAGTCATTTTGATGCTCCGTTTTTCCTTAACTTGTCCCTAAAGCCATTTCAAATCACGTCATAATTTTCAAACGTGTCACTAGAAGTAGTTTAGGCAGTCTTGTGTTTGTGAAATGGGGTGAGCAGACTATTGTTTGCAATAATCTTGACATGTTCAGGAGTTTAGAAGTGTGAGTGGCTTCATAAAGTTACTGATTCAGTTCTATATTAAGTGGTACAGCTTAGTGACATTTGCAACAGCGGGGCAAAGGTCAAACCATCATGAATGTGTAACAATTATGACGGTGTGTGTGTGTGTGTGTGTGTGTGTGTGTGTGTGTGTGTTTTAGACCACTGCTAGCTGACATAATCCTCTCTTCAGCAACTGCAGTGTTTTGCATGACTGGTTCTTATTCCTACCACCATGAACTCGATCACAGACACACGACACGACACACACACACACACACACACACACACACACACACACACACACGCACACACACACACACACACACACACACACACACGCACACACTGTAGGTTCATCAGTTAATATTGTACAAGTGTGAAGTAAACTGCTGTGTAAAGTGACACTTTGCATCCGGTTGTCTCAGGTAAATAAACAGCCACTGGAAAAACACAACTGTCAGAGAAACATCCGGCGAAGTTACCTTACTTCAGTGCAAGTCAATAGTTTTTTACAGATCAACATCAAACACAACAAATTGACTGATACTGTTTGAAAATACAACACGATTTTGTATTATTTAACCAATAATTATTAACATTTTGGTCTGTGGCCCCTCATAAAATACAGTATCTAGGAGCACATTTTCATACCTGACAATTCACCCTTAAATGTCACAGATGGTTTTATTTCAAGACATAGCCTACTGTTCAACAAATAAACCCAAAATGATGAATGAATATCAATGGAAAAAACCTCAGGGAGAGCAACAGAGGAGGGATCCCTTTCCTAGTATAGACACTAGACGGACAGATATATTTATTGTGTGTATATTAAAAAAGACAATACATTTACAACTTAGACACTCCAAATGTATAGGAATCAGAGTTGGGGACTCGAGTCTGTGACTCGGACTCGAGTCGCACACACAGAGACTTCAGACTTGACTTGGACTCCTGCTCAAAAGACTTCGGACTCGACTTGGACTCGTGTTTTGGGACTCGTGAACAATCATTGTGTTTTCTATTTTTGGCGTATTAAAGGTGGGGTAGGTAAGTTTGAGAAACCGGCTCGAGATCGCTAGAATTTGAAAATACACAACCGGAGAAAATCTGCCACTTCCTCACAGAGCCCCTCCTCCAACACACACGAACGCGCACATGACCAATGAGGGCACGAGAAGAGTTTGTGCCCCGCCGGCCCGGCTAAAGTAACTGGATGGCCTACCTGCCTGTCAGCCTCGCTATCGGGATGTTAAGAGCATTCCATGGAATATAACAACAAGTGTATCTCGAGCCGGTTTCTCAAACGTACCTACCCCACCTTTAACATTAACATTAACATTATGGTAACACCATGGTGACCGGCGGCACACCTGCAGCTGTATCGCTTGTAATTAGGTTCAACTATAAAAACTTCGAACAAAACGCCGGCGGCACCAACAAAAGGAGCGCACACTGCAAAGTCTGCAATATTAAAATCAAGGATGCTGGTGCAACAACGTCACATTTCATCAGGCACTTGAAAACTCAGCCGGAGAGGTCAGTCACATTAACGCATATGGACGGTTAGCAAACATGTTTAGCTCAGCATCAGCTTTGTAATGTTAACTTAGCTTGCTACTAGCTTTGTAACTGAATATTTGAAAAGATGAGTGAATGTTTGCTTGTCACACTTGTTTGCGTTGAGTGGCGTTGACATCCAACTCTTGACATGACATAAAAAAGGTCGGTAACGTTAATCATTACGTTCCGCTGCCACCATCTATCTACTGGCTAACGTTAAACGTAGAAAAATACATAGTTACATACATACATACATCTGTCGGTTTATAGGCAGGTTACAGGTTTATTGTTGACCACGTAACGTTAATGTTACAGGTTTATCAGGTTACCATTACACTGGGTTTGAGTGAGAGGATAGAGGAATATGTTTATTTATAGTAGACTTAAAAGATGTAATTAGAGACCCAGTGTAATTAAACAATACGGTTGCAGAGGTCAAATTTTAACATTTTTGTCCACTGGCCAAATGGCTAGCCTAGTGGATGTTGAAATGTTACCAGCCACTCAATAGATTGCCATTGTTATTTGTGGCTGGTGCGTGCAACATACAGCACCAGCCACTTGCATGATTTACCAGCATTTGGCTGGTAAATGGTGTTAATGGTAGATATCTCTTTTGGAACAGGTCATTTTTTAATATCACCAGTTCAGTATATTTCAGATAATATTGCAGCAATAGTTTTTTAGTTGCAAATGGCACAGAACAAATGTTTACTTTGAAGTACTTTTAACACGGTTTCCCTGCGGGGGATTAATAAAGTATTTGTGATACTGATTTCTGATTCTGAAGTGTTTTGCTTATAAGTTGTTTGCATTTAGCTAAAGTGTGATGTTTTTCCTCATATTGCATTGCAATAGCCTGTTTAAAGTGATCATATAGCAAACAACTAATCAGTACTGATACTGTATGCTGATAGATATAGGAGTGATAATAATACAGTAAATGCTTTGAATGTCTTAGATATAGCTGTGCAGTATTCTTAACAGACTGGATAGCAGCAGACAATAGAAGGCTTATTACAACCAGAAGAGACATGAGACTTTTATTTTTTAGAGACTTGAGACTTGACTTGGACTCGTGACCAAAGACTTGAGACTTGATCAAGTCTCACCCCACAAAGACTTGAGACTTGACTTGGACTTGCAAAAAAAGACTTGTGAACATCTCTGATAGGAATGATAATGTGAATGTATGCAGGTGGATTTCAACAATCATAAAACAAATAATAAAGTAGGCACCAGGCAGGACTTCAGCTCCTTTCTAGCCCCAAATATATTAAATGCAATATTTCACGACAAATCGAAGAGTTAGGGTGCCTCTGCTGTGAACTATTGATCAAGTGTCCCATGTATTCAAACCGTGTCTATAGGGACAGAGTTCAAGTCTGACCGAGGTCCTTTTGCTGCTGGTCTTCCTCTTTCCTGTCTCTATTTGTCCGGTCTGTCCGTTAAAGTCAAGCAGATCAAAGAAATAACAAAAACAAGATCAAAATGTTTGGGAAAAGAAGAAAGAAAATTTGAAGCAGAACTTCTCTCAGACTCTTTGATTCATTTAAAACTAGCTCAACCTCAACACTTAAACTATGTCAACATTGCATCAATATTAACACTGATAAAATAATTATATATAATAATGTTTATAATGCATAATTATTTAATACTTACTGATAATACCTGATCAAGTAGGATTGTGATAAATGCACATTCGTAATTTGTAATGGAGTATTTCCACATGATATTATCAGTGTCGTACTTAAGTAAAGAATCATTCACCACTACATCAACACATCTTCCACAAACAGAGTCCTATTTCCCTCCCTGACAGATCAGAGAGGAAACACTGCTGTGAAATGAAGAAGCTTTTCCTAAAACATGAGTTATGCAGTGGCCTTGACACAAACCTCCACTCTGACTCAACGTCACAAAATTCCTTTGGATCCTTACCACACAAATAATTATACAATGAGTCTCCACCTAAAGTATGTTTATATTTAGCAGTGACTCATGGTAAGATGCCATTGATAAATACAACTTCAAACATTAAAGGTCCCCTATTATACTGTTTTTCATCAATATATTATAGGTCTCAGATATATACAAAACATGTCTCTGAAGTGTTTGGCTCCAAACACCAAACAGATCATTTCAGCATCCCATAATCCCCTCTGTTTCAGCCCTGTTTCAAAAGTGCTGATTCTCTGTCTGTTACGGTACGTCCACACGGTTGCGTCGCGTGCTTCAACGGAGACGCTTCCCATTCACTTTGAATGGGGTGACGTCAAGCTTTGCCGAAGTGCATTGTGGTTCCGTCGCGTCGCTTTGCCTCCGTTGCTCGCTTCGAAAGTTGAGAAAAGTTCAACTTTTCAAATAAATAAATAAGTCATTTGACCATGACTCTCGCTGACAGAGTGCCTGAGTGGCTGATGGGAATGAATGGGAGCATGATTGGCAGGAAGAAGGAGTAAACACGCTGCCTTGTCTTCCTGATGTCTGGATGGACTGCCAGTGAACCGGCCTACGCTCTCTGCCTTCCTCCCCCTCCTTCCTCCATTTCCTCTCTCTGTTGTTGAGAGCTCCTTGTCTAAAAGACCACCAATCACTTCACTGCACTTTAGCCCAGTTTGGTGTTGCCAAAGCAAGTTCA